CTGGCTGGGCCTAATGAGGCTTTTGTGACTGGGTGGCTGGTACACAGCATCTTCCATGGAGCGGAGGACAATTAAGGAGCTCTTGCTTGCAGGCCAGAGGTAACAGCTTGAATTGCAGTGCAACTCAACTCATTTCATGAGGTTCATGGCCTGGCTGATGGCTGTCAGCCACCTGATGTGGCTGTAGTGTCAGGATCATTCTCCTACAGCTGTATGTTGCTTGTGTGTATGTATAAGCTGTTTGTGATGATGTGTCTGTGTTCTGTCTGCTGCAGTTAAGATTGTGATATATAGGGGAGTGTGCTGCTTTTGATTTAAACTGGCAGTTGGGAATATTTTCTTGCACAGCTTCTGACTTAACAGGCTTCCATGTTTCACAAATTATTGGTATTCTCTTAGAAGCAAAATAAAGGTCACAATTTGGTAACAAGTTTACAAGTTTGTTACAGCATTTAAATGGGTGGTCATGGAAACAACAACCTAAATTGTGATCTGTAGTTGGTAAGACATTTTATAGTTGAATCACTCCATACTATTCTGTTGCAAAGCTACTTGTGTTTTCTCTTTTAATGCATCTTATAATAGGTATTGTATTGTCAGGGCACTAGCTGTGATTCAGAATGTCATTTAATTATGTTTGCTCAAAACGCTGTGAAAATGGTGGATTGTCAACATTTAAAAACTTGCGAAGTTAATGTTAGAAATACAGAAGTGTTCCTAGGTAGGACTAGGCAAACAAACAGGGGTGACTGACTAGAAATGATAGGCATCCTGTCTTTGGCAGTGATGGAGGATATACATCTAAGTGGTGGCGAGTTCCAGTTTTGAGTGTATTTGATAAGTCATAGCCACAGGGGCAACTATATTTACAAACAGCTAGGCAGGTTTTTTGTATTTGACACCCTCCTACCCAAACATTAATTCCTTTCATAAGACTCTTAGAGCACTGTAGGTAGGACTCCCTTTTATGTCTGTTCAGAAGCTGTATTTGATGTAAATTGAGATCTGGTTAAGCGTGCTTTTAATTGAACATACTAAACTTGAAGCTGTTAAAAAATGCTGAAGTTGTTGATCTTGACCAATAAACCTTGAAATGGTGCAGAGCCTCCAAAGAGGGAAAGGTAGTTTCTTGCAATATATTTTTGCAGAAACAGTGAACTCCAGCTTCATTGAGATACCTGTTTGAGGGCTAAAGCTAGAGGATCTGGGATTTACTTTAGTTCCGAATTTATGATAGCCAGGTCCTATCCTTCAGAGTGTTCTGCACTCTTCTTTTTTTCTCTGATGCAATTACAAGGAGTAGAGCAGGTTCTGTAGTTTAGTCATGTCTGTTGTACTTTCTTTGGATAGCATTGGGTGTTGAATGGATGTTCCTTTATAACTGATGATAATACAGCATAAATGATCCTGCGATTTTTCACTAGTATGAATTTGTGCTCAGTACATTAGCCAATATTCACAGAAAAATTATCTATGGATGTATTTAAAGCAAAAAAATCCCACCACCTTTTAAAAAAAGTATTAAAAACAAGAAAATGCCACTCCTTAATTGAGCACTTGATATCCTCAAACCAAATCAAGTACTGCTATTTTGTAAAACATTCTTTACTATTTACTATAAAATTTCTTGGAAGATACTGATGCGAAGTGCATCTTCATGTAATATTGAAAACAGGTGACAGCTGAAAAAAATACAAGATACTTCTGAAATACTTCTACAATACTTCTGAAGATGAAAGTCTTTCAACACTTTTATGCTGTATATTGCTTGAATAAAGTGGTTCTGTCTAGCAATGCAACTCTGCTCTCTGGAAAAATGCATTGTTTCCTAACAAATATTTTACATACTCTAATGGTTTCTTAAAAGCTTGTACTTCAGTGTGTATCCTGTTTTTTAAAGATGTCTGCTATCTACAGAGGCTTCCTGAGGATATCACTTGAGATGTTTTCTGCTACTATTGCTCAATATTGACTGCTTTACTGCCATTTGTGTCTTCCTATGAATTGGTGGTTAAATTCAGTGTTAATGCTTATTACTGTAGCTAGTGGTATAGAGTAATTTGTGCATTACGCTAATGCATAGTGAACTGTAAAATACAGTCTATTTTGTGTCAACTGTTAGTGTTTCAAATATGTGCTCAGTGACACTGAATTTAATTGCATTTAGATATTAACTAGAAATTTTTATTTCAGAAAATAAACCTTTTCTGAAATGGGGGAGCAAATAATTTTTAACCTTGTTTGTACTCTACCTTGTAATAAATGTCTTTTGTTATGCTTGATACAAAACTGTTGAATGGGAAAGAATATATATAGCCTGGTCAGCGTTAGAGGAAGTGATCTCCAATATGTAGTATATACCAGTGTGTATATATATTACCATCACCAGCAAGGAGGGTGTCCTCTTTGTTCAAAGCTTCTGGTCTTAAAAGTTGAGCATCCAAGTTCATGCTATCATTGTAAGAAATCCCTGTCCCTCACAGAAAAGTTGAATGTTTTGTTTGCAAGTAATCCTGCCTTTTAATTTTCCTAGTGTATTTTTAATTTGTAATTTGCATTCTTCATTAACACTCCCACATTCCCCATTTCGAAAGTGTGCCTCTAACTTTGGCATTGTAGTGCAATGTGTCTCTCAACAGAGTTAAAATTATTTTTCTCAAGTGGCTGATAAATAGGAACAAATAAAAGCTTGGAGAACCTATTGTTAGTTTAAAATAGGCTTCATGGAATGTTGGTTTCAAAGAATTTCTTGATCAGGAAGGTTTCTTGAGTCTCCAGGGAATTTCTTTCTTCGTGAAAGTCAGTCTATCCAGAATAGCAGAGCCCGGTTGTTGTGACATGTACTGGGAATGAACAGAGTTGGGTTTCAGCCGTGCTGTGCACACTGACAAGCAGAATATTTCATCCTAGGTACTTCAAACTAGACGGTATTGATTTTATTTCATTTCCTGAAGGACCCTCCTGGCAGGGCTAGTGTGATCCACTTTTTCACGGACTGTCTTCAAGAAGTAGGCTTCTGTCCAGGTGGCTGCGTTGCTCTGGAATGGGATGAGACAGGATCTCGGTAACCTAGCTCAGCCAGCAGCAGCCTCAAGTGCTATATGCCGTACTGACACAGCAGCGCTTTTCTGGTTTAACTTGTTTTGATCAGGATGAGGAAGAGAAGTAAAAGAGAGCTATACTAGCAAGCATACAGCTTTGCCAGGGTAAACAGTATCTATGCTGGTGCTGCTTCTTCTGGTATATGTGATATTTATCAGTTTAGTCTATCTGATTTTCATTGTGATAAAAGCTTTCAAAATTTTTGCTTCCATTTCATAGGGAAAAATGCTTCTGGTCAGATTCTATCAACAGTCCAGCTATTCTTTTTTACTTTTTTTTTTTTGGAACTGTAATCTGTGCAATTTTTTGTATTCTTACATATATTAGTTCAAAAGGTCATTTACATACTTCTTCCCAAATGTGTTTTTGTGACTCTTGCAAGACAATTGTGAAATATTAGAACAAAAAGGCAGATGGTCTGAAGTGATAAATGATTTAAATTGCCCAAAACACTGTCTATACGGAAGCTGATGTTTTCTTGAGTGTAGAAATTAAAGGTTCAGTTAAGCATAGTTAGTTGATGGATGCAGAGCTGATGAATTATTACAGTATGTAGCTCTGGAACATGCTGTGGCTTTGTGAAGGTGATGTGAACAATGCTTGGCTTTATATTTGAATGGCACTCTCCATTGCTGATTGGTTTGCTTGGGGTTTGTTTGTTTGTTTGTTTGTTTGTTTGTTTTAAAGAAAACCCTAATACTTGATCATTTGGTGTAGCACAGAGTTTTCTGACAAAAGCTGTATAAATAAACTGAGGTGAGGCTAATGAATGCTTGAATGGTAACAGTCTAACCTTTACTTTAGACCGAAGTGTTCCTTTGTCATACTTTGCAGTCTGTGATTTGCCATGCCTCTATACTTGCTTTTAATTGATAGGGTATACACTGTGATTAGGAAAGACTGTTTTGGGGCTGGATGGTGGTCTGGAGACTGCTGTCACTCCAGTGCAGGCTTTGCTACAGCAGTATCTGTGTCTGTCAGCTGAGAAACAGGTTGTTAGAATTCACTTCTCAATTTATGCTTTTGGAAGATCCAGTCTGAACTGAAGCCTATGTAGGCTTAAAATACAACAGTCTTCCAAGTCAGATCAGTCACCTCTGGTTCTGTTCATTTAAAATAAGCAAATTAGGGAGGAGAGAAAAGCTGATGATATGTATAGAGCCTCCACCCCTTGGGATGGTTCACTGGGAGAAGCAGGTTATCTGAAAAAATACATTGTCTCAAAAACATTGTATAATGGAAATAAGTAAACTGTGAGGTTGAACATGTAAAGATGTATTAAGTTTGAAACTAAGGTTTGGAATTACATCAGTTTTGACTGAAAGCTTTTGTTAGTTTAATATGTCTATTCAGTGAGAATAAACAAAGAACTTAAGTTGTAAGGACACCCATTGTTACTCTTTTCTCAGGTGGTATCATGGAAAACTTGACAGAACAATTGCAGAAGAACGTCTTCGACAAGCGGGAAAACCTGGAAGTTACCTTATTCGAGAGAGTGATCGGAGACCAGGTTCATTTGTGCTTTCATTCCTTAGTAAAACAAATGTCAATCATTTTAGGTGAGAATTAAGTGTTTTATTTTAAAATACTGTGATCTGTTAATTTTTGAGTTTAGAACACAATAGAGTACAAACAGAAAACAGTTCTATTATAATTATATTTTTTTGACTCTTTATTCTTGTATGGTACAGCTTTTTACTTGTGTTAGTTGTTTTAAAATATGCTGCTTAAAAATTACTGTATAGGCTAAAGAACAAAGATGTGAGGGAAGTAATAATACTTGGACAGAGAACTCTGTCTAAAGCAGTTGTGAATAGACTTAAAGCAACAATGCAGGTTTCATTAGTCAGTCAAGGAGATTGTTTTGAGTTTGTTTTGTAGTAGCTGTTGTAGCTTACAGGACGTACTTCAATTGCTAGCACATTTGGTTCCTTCCTTAATTCTGAGGCACATTCCCCCCACCCCGCCAAAATACCAACCAAACAAAAAAAATCCCAAGAAGAAACAGAGAGATTATTAAACACATAATCTGAGGGTTTGCTGGAAACAGCTTTCAGTATGTGTTAGAATTAGTTGTTGTACATACAAGTAGCTCTTTATCCAGAGTTGTAACTAGGATTATTTTATGATTGCCAAACTGTGTACGTTAGTAAGCTCATTTATTATTTTGTGTAAATGAGATGTATTCTGTGAAGAGCTTGAAGGTTAGTCAGCAAGTGGAGTGCTGCAGTGTAACGTTCATCTGTACAAAATAGGAAAGTAAATGTTTCTTCATCAGTAGAAGAAATTTTTATCAGTTGTCTTGATAGCAACAAACGAATTCAAAGCAAATTCTTCAAGTTCTGAGAGTGGGAATTATCCAGAATACCAACATACAAGCCACTATGTGCATGGTTTAAAAATGTAGGAGTTTTTGGGTGCATCTGCTGTTTGATGAAGTGTGGTTCAGAGGTCCCAATCTACTATTGGCATTAGGGCATAACTCTGAAGTGAAGACAATATAGCACACAAATAGTATCTCATTTTTGCATCTTGCCCTCTGAGCTACCAATTTCAGCTTCTCAGCTATACTGATACTTCTCTGGGAACTGGTTACGGTATAGCAGTAACAGAAGAATAAACTGTGCTAATACTTGCTTTTTAGTGCTGTTAGAGTTCTGGATTATTTTTAATAACTTCTCCTTTTGAAGCCAATATGACACGATTGACTGTTGGTTCATGCCCACCGTAGAAGTGTTTCTGGCATCTCAGGTACAAAATAGTCTAATGATTTCAAATTCCCTAAGGAGAGGGCGCTTACAATATTTTCAAACCTTAAAGAATCTTTCATTCAGAGATCCACAAAACACACAGAGATAAATATTCAAAGGGGATTAATTTGTTAGTTAATACTATTCTGCAGAGATTGGACATGTTTTCAGTTTCATTCTTTGACTGCCAAGTGTGTATTTTTGTTTATTACTAGACAGGCAAGTGTTACACTCAAGAACGTTGTCAACCTCAAGAATGGCAGCCTTAAAGTAATTTCAAGCAAATATAGGGATGGATCTCCTATGTCCCACAGAGTAGAAGTGCTGTTTCCACCAAAGCTTGATCTTTGCCAACTGCAGCCTAGCAGGAAAAAAAAAAAAAATGTCCCTCGTATTTTGTTTCCTAAAAGTGTTGTTTTTCACATTAAACTTTTCTTAGATTTCTGTGCACCTGAAATACAAACATTTCAAATGAAAGTTTCTTAAACTTTTTTAATTCTGTCGGTACCTCTTGAAAGTTGCATAGAGACATATGTGGTCATGCAGCATATGATTGATTTGTAGCATATGAATCTGTCAAAACTAAATCCTTTTTCACTGAAATGTCACCTTTTTTGATGAGTCAGTGATACAAAATATCTTGAATCTTTTAATCTTGTTCTTCCGAAATTTCTGTCATTACAGAAATCTTTCTGTATTTGCTAGCTCTGTGTTCTGAAGAAAGGTTTTCTTTAAGCTTGATGAAGTAATAATCTGAAACACTAAGTTTCATTTAGAACCTAATCTCTATTGAATAATTTACCAAGAAATCTTACAGAAAATATGCCAAAAGATGTAGCCTCTGTCCATGAAGTTATATTATTTTCTGACTCCCCTTGCAGTGTTATGTGCTTAAAAACTTCAGATTTCATGTCTGAAGATTCATCTTTGTATACATGTTTTGTCACTGGGAGAAGTAATGTAGTTCAAAGAACTGACTGAGAAGGAAGATTTTTGGGCAGGAATGTATCAGAATACAGACCTGCTAATGAAAAAGAATAAAAATGGATGAAACTAATAAATAGTGTACTCATTTGGAATGAAGGATAAGTTTCTTGGCAATTGAATGTTTGAGTTGGGGTTTTTTTGCCTTTTTTTTCCTGAGTTCTTCACAAGCTTTGTGAAGAGGTCAAACATGAAGTAGAACACTGAGCTTTTATTGTTCTTTGTACTGTAATTTATTTTGAAATATCCTTGAGATAATTTGTATCTCTTCTGGAAACTGGAAAAACAATTAGCATGAGCTTTCAGATTTTAATTTTTTTCTTGACAGCAAAATTTGCTCAGCTTGGTAATAATTTGTTGCTCAATTTCTTACATTTTTGTAAGAATGCAAGTGACCTGCTACTCAGGACTCCTGTCTGATCTCTGTGTTGTTGGAAGAATTCAGGTCTGCTTGATGCCATCAATTTACATAATGAGATCATTTCTTTGGATTGTCTGGCCAAAATTACTAACGTTGTTTCATATTAAGTACTTCTTCACTTTTGCAAATGACTCTTGATTGTAACAGGAATTGTAATACTGTTAACTCTTTTACCTAAATAAATAATTACTGACTGCTTTTAGAATTTGTGTTGACTAGCAATGTGAACAGACATGGTACTTCCCATTTTTGATACAATAATGCATTAATGAATCTCTTTATTCTTTATAGCTTGTGTTTTTCTGAAAGTAAAACAGTTTTGTAAGAACGCTTTGTTTTGTTAAGCTATTGAAATGGTTTTGTAAGCTTTTTTCCCATTAGGTAGCAAATTTTTAAATTGACTGTAAGGAGATACTTCGATTATTCCAAAGTAATTTCCTAACTTTTAATATAGATGCTAAACTGACTGATTTTTGAAGGTGTTTGTTTTCTGCATTGTATAATCAAGTGCAGGTATTTGTTGTTAAAATATTTTAATATTTTGTCAAATTTATATAAGCCTGTCATAAAAAGTGCGTGTTCTGTATGATGGAAGTAATAATGCTGTTGTGTCTACTAGTGCGCTACTTCAGTTTCCCAGGATACTTGCAATTATATTTTTCTGTTTAATTTCAGTTAGTTCCGACAGATGTACTGCCGTTTTTTTGTGAATCAGGACTTCCTTTAGAGTCTTAAAATACTGGTGTATTATGCGATAGATAGATGGAATTTTTTCGTGAAATATTAATTAGCTAATGTTTACTTACATGTTTATAGACAGCTTGTAATACTGCATTTTGCTGAATGTATACACCGCTGTAAAAATTAAATGTTATCCTAATTTCTATTTTCTTAAAAAAAAAAAATTGGTAGCAAAAAATTTTCTTACGTCAAGCTGCTTTTTTATTAACAGGATTATTGCCATGTGTGGAGACTATTACATTGGTGGACGTCGTTTTGCTTCACTCTCAGACCTAATCGGTTACTACAGTCATGTGTCCTGTTTGCTGAAAGGGGAAAAACTCTTATTTCCAGTAGCACCTCCAGAGGCAAGTAGTACATTTTTAATAGTAAAAGTTTTAAGTGTCATTTACTTAAATATTAGTATCCTTAATTGCCATGCATAATTTTCTTTGGAAAAAGCATTGTAGAAAGTTTCCTGTATTTCTACATAGGCTCAGCATATGTTGAAGTATAAAGAATATAAAAATGCATTCTTACTGATACAAAGTAATGACTTAAAAAAAAATACTGCTATTAAATGAGAACGTACAATGAGAAAGCTAGATGGCAGGTGCTGCAAATAAATGCAGTGTTATTACTACATTTGGAGATATCTCCAAATGTAGTAACAACATTATAGGTAAACAGAGATAAAAATGTGCAGTTCTTGGCTAGTAGAGAGCATCACTGTAATGTAACCTCTGCTGTTTTGTTGTATTTTGGGTATCTAACTGATTTCAAAATACACATCCTGGACATAACAAGGTTTCTGAAAATGGGGCTTCTTTCACAGGCCCATCCTTAAAACACTAGAAGTAATTAAAATGAAACAAAATACTGCATAGTGCCCCCCCCCCCCCCCCCCCCCCCCCCCACACAAACAACAAAAAAAAAAAAACAACA